TGAAGCCTTGTAAAGTAAAAAAAGAAATAGATTGTATAGATTATAACAAGTCAAACAACAGGTCTGTCTACCCTTTTCAAACAAAGAATGACACAAATTAGCATTTTTAAGAGCTTTTATAATGGGTTGAGGGATTTCTGTGACTGGATACACCCTTAATAATAGGTTAGGGACATTTTCCTTAAGGTTTACAAGTCTTATGATTACTTGGGAGAAGATATAGTAAAAATGAGTGACACATATACTATACAATGACATCAACAACCTAAAACATGGATGACCCAGGAATTAGCGAATAGACACAGATATAGCTGAACTAAAAATAACTTGCAGGGTTATTCATAAAAAGTTGCAGGTAAAAATATACATTTAGGCTATTTGGAGAATGTTTTTACATTGGCTATTTTAGTTTTAAAAATGCCATTTGGATTTGAGTTTCCATTAATTCTGGGTGTAGTGAATACAGAAGAACATGTGACATTTGGCATCAATACCTAACTTTTTACTTCATAATGTTCTATTAGATCCTGTTCAGTCAGTGTTATTCACTAAAGTGAGAATTCAAAGCAAATTTCAAATTTAAGGTCAAAATGGCTGAACTGGAAAAAAGGCAGTTTTGCTAATCTGGCTTACATTTAAAATTCACTTTGAATTCTCACTTGTGACATCAGCAAATTGATTAACAATCTAATTCCAACACTGTCTGACCCAAGGTGCGTGTATATCCCTGAAGGATCCTGCCATATACTGAAGGTAGAGGTGAGGTTTTCTCATTTTTGTTTTTTAAATATACTTCGTTTAACAATAAATCCATTTCCTTTCAAAACTTGGTGAAAGGATTGTTATATTAAAAGATAGTGTTGAAGTCACCGCTCTCCTTTAAAGCATTCTTCCAATAAGCAATATAAAAAAATAAGCCCTTACCTTTGTCTTTTTGCAGCATATGCCCAGGCTATCCTGTTTATCCTATTGCTTTTAGAAGGAAAACTGTAGTATCGCATACTATTGAATAGCTGGGTTTTTATAAGCTGTAAGCCGTAATGTCATTATGCTGTGCAGATGTGCTAGCTCAGATAAAGTAATTCATGTCTTGCAAAATGTAATATATACAAGGATATCATTTTTAATTAGTGGGGTAATAGCTGCTTGATCCAAGGAGACAACGAACGGCTATTTTGGGGTCAAGAAGGGATTTTCCCCCCTAGTTTGGGGTTATTTTGCCTTTGTTTAGATCAACAGCAAAAACATATGTGAGGAAGGCTGAACTTGATGAACGCATGTCTTGTTTTAACTATGGATATATGAAATGAAAAATATAATTTTAAAGAATTTTGTTTTATTTAGCACAGAAACATTTTCACTACCGGTCAGTGAAAACATTAAATACTGTACAGTTAAATATTCTGAATAGAAAGAGTGGTAACACAAGCATTTAAACAGTCTTTGTCGTGCCTTACATAACCATATCCCTTTATATCTGCCAATACTTCCTGGTGTACAATTCGTTACAGGAAACAACTATCACATATCTAGATTGATCAACATTTAGAAAGAATGTTTCTTCAATTCTAATCATCGTTGGATGTATCTAGCTGTGAATTCCTTGCACCTGACAAAGAATCATTTCGCCTTGGGTCATTCCGTGAATCAAGAGTTCAAACATGT